TGTGATAACATAACTGCAGACAATACACTGGCCATACCATTCTGAAAGAAAGCAAAGCACAGGTGTGCAATGAATGAGGCAAGGGATTGCAGGAAGAGAAAAGGATGGTCTCAGGATTCAAGAAGTTGAATGCTGCCCTTGAGAACTGGATTCTATCCCTGCCTTAGCCACAGAGTTCCTCTGTGATGTTAGTCAAGTCACTTAAACCAAACTTCCGACAGGTGGTCATTAATTGTATGTTCCTCCTTTTGTTGTACCTGATTTAGGACCCTGAGATCTGATTTGTAGAAGTGCTGAGCACTCACAGCTGCAACTGTAAGTCAGCATGTCAAGTGAGCTGTGCTTTGAACACTAAAGAGCACCTTATAGATTCAATATTGTGAAAGATCAGGTTGTAGGCATCTCAAATTGGGGATCCAAAAAAAAAAATCATGGGATACTTTGAATTAAGTCTTCAGTTTCCTGCCATTGGTGGTTCTTATTTTGTTCTGCTAGATTAAAGTCTCCTTGACTACCTGGCATTTTCATTCCATGGAAGTTTATATACTTTGTAAGCAAGTCACCTCTTACTCTTTGACACCCTTTAAATGTGGACACCAAAACTTTACACCGTATTCTAGTGTCAGTCTCACCTGTAATCTATACAGAGGTAAAAATCACTTCCCTGCTTCTATTCATCATTCTCTTTATTACACATTTAAGGATTGCATTAGCCCTCTTTGCCACAACATTGCACTGAGAGTTCATGGTTAGTTGCTGATCCACTCTGACCCCTAAATCTTTTTATAGAGTCACTGTGTTCCAGGATCAGTCCCCCATTCTGTAGGTAAGGCTTATATTGTTTGTTTCTGTAGAACATTGAATCTGGTTGTATTAAAATACATTGTATTTGAATAGACCCAACTTCTCAAGCAACTCAGATCACTCTTTATGACTTCTCTGTCCTCATTATTTAGCATTACACCAATATTTGTGTCACTTGCTAATTTTATCTGGAGTGATTTTACATTTACTTCTGGATCATTGGTAAAAATAGGGAATAGCCCAGGGCTAGTCCCAATCCCTGTGGAATCCCGCTAGAAACACTCAAATTCAATGATGATTCCCCTTTGACAGCTACTTGGAGATTTGTCAGTTAACTAGTCCTTAGTCCATTTAATTTGTGCTTTATTTGTATTTTATAGGGCTAATTTTTTAATCAAAATGTAGTGCAGTACTAAGTCAAACACCCTAGAAAAATCAAAGTATATTACATTTATGCAGTTACCTTTGTCAACACAAGGAACACAATGGAACACACGATGGAATACATAAGCTACAAGCCAAAAATGGAAGTGAAAGCTTTATGAGAGTGCTGACGTGTTATTAATACTGTAAGCAATATGAAGGTGGAAAAGAATGCACAAGTCTCTTCCCATAACTTAGTTCCATACTTTTAAGGTTCTGAGTGGCTGGAGTGTGCCCAGCTACCAAATTTAGGTTTTGTTTGCTAATTTCCCCAATGTTTTTAATACAGGTTTAGTGTATTTCAGAGGATAGCTCAGGAAAGTCAGGAAGAAGAAGAGCTACATCTGCCTAGAGATCACAGGGAGCAACTGCTGCTGAAGTTACTCTTGACTTCATCCATGCTCCTCAAGAACATGAGAAGTTATGCTGTGCCTCAGTAAATTTTTTGTCTACAACATTTTATCTCTGTTTAAAACTTTACTGAAAGTCAGTACAGCAAGAGCAACCCTCTATGCTTAGCACCAACAAACTTTCAGCACAAGGGAACTTCCGTGAAAAAATCTGTACCATCACTCACTTCCCAAAACAGCTTGTAGCCTCTCATGGACTCCTGGAAACTAGATGCCATCAGAAGCAGCTGCAGCAATAGGGTGAGAATGTCTGTATTGTACGAGCAGATCTGACTAATGCACTCCCCCTTCCCTACTAATATGAGGAATACCTCTCAACAATTAAACATGCTAATGTGGTACAGCTGCAAGTGTGACAATCGCCATCTTAGACAGTAACAGGGATTGAACTGATGAGCTCTGGATATAAACACTTGAGTCTTTACAGCTTGTGCTAAGAACCAGGCTTTCAAACTGAATGTTGTCACAGTCACATCCTCTGTGAGCTTAGAAAAGGCATGTTACACATACACTGAACAGTTGATTGCACAAGCAAAATGTGTGATAAACAACAAATATGAAAAGTGTATTTTAATGATTCACATGACTATTTACAGATCATAGATTTTTAAGTAAAAAAATCTGCTTTGGAGTGGCCTTTTCATCATGAGAACCACATAATCCTTACCATGCCTCCAAACAGATCATCATCAGGGTTTGAATCCCTTAACTTTCAGATCACTAGCTTAAATTCTTACTATTTGAACTGCAGGAGTAAGCACAAACTCCTTTCTAGATGAGCCACCAGAGAAGGACTTCACATGCTCTTCCCAGTGTGTTCCACAACTAGTGACTAGTCCACAGTAGAATATTGGTGATCAGGAATCCTGGATTCCTCCTGGCTCTGGCAGAGCAATGTGGTTTATAGTGGTTAGAAATAGGATAACTCAGTGTGACTAAACCAGTATGGATGGCAATGTGGTGTAGTGGATCAGATGGGGATTTGTCATATTAAAGATCTGGTGTCCGGGCCTGCTCAACTTTGAATAAACATTCTGCTAATTTATTTTAAAAATGGGGGTGGGGGGGAGAGTGTTCAGAAGCACTTTTCTAACTGTTTTCTAGGGCAGGTTCATAGCCTTAGTCAATAGTGAGCATAATCGACTGGATAGGAATTTAAACAGGATTTAGAAGAGGTAAGAAACTTGCGGCAGCCTCTTTCCTAGATCAGGGAACTGCCCCCTAAGCTACAGGAGTAGTGGATGAAACAGTCTCTGCCTCCCTCCCTTGGAAATGAATAGAAGTGTATTTTCCATGACTAAAAAAAGTTGGAAGGTACTCTAAAGACAAATACTATCTATGTGTAGCTGAGCAACAGTGTAGCCAATGGACAGATCCCATAGTGTTTTAGATTTCTGGAGCGGGGAGGAAGAGATAATCCAATGAAATAATTGCCAAAATGGGTAATTTTTGAACTTTCATTAGTCTCTCCCTATCAATTTATTTTTCATCAAACCACAATGAAAAATTCATATAGTGCTCAAAAATTATATTCTGTGTGTGGGTTTTTTTGCCATTTTATTGAGACTGCTACAAAAGTGTAAAGCTAGTGTTAAAATGGAACTTCATAAAGCAACCTTAACTCTGGTGCAGCTACCACTGCTCCATAATACTATAGTTAAACCCACTGAGTTTGCTCAGCACCTGGAGATCAGTGCACTCAGAAGCAAAGAAAAAACAGACTGTAAAAATCCTTTTCACTTATCTTTACTGAACTTAATGAGTAGGCTTTAAAAACTGTAGCTAAGATTTAACAATTAGCATACCAGCAGCACTGCACTCAAGGAGTTAGTTGGCACGCCAGAAGAAATTTCCATCTATAACAGTTTGTTTTTGCTCATCTAAACAGCTGAATAACAAGTTAATACAGGTCCCACCAACAAAACAGTCACTCACCATTTGACAGATTTTTTTAAACACATAAAAATGAAGGGCTTGTTATTGAGTACTTTAAAAAAAAAGTCTGAACCCTGTTATTCACTTTTAAGAACACACAGATTTTTTTAATTCAAGTTTGCAAAACTGAGTATGTACTTCTGGTTTTCTGGGGAAAAATGAGCATGATTGTGAAAAGTCAGTTTAGTCATGCACAACAACAGTTAATCCAACACACAACTGTACACTGAGATAGTAAAGTCATCAGTTTGCCACATAAGGCCACTGAACATCTGTTGAATGCTTTTCCTTTATTTGGTCTAATTTTTTATAAACTACATGGAAAAAGCACAGCAACTAGTACTATAGCTTTTTGGTAAAAGGAACGCAAAAATGTCAAAACAAACCTCTCAGGACGGTTAATAAATTAATACGCAGATGAAAAATGTTCTTATGAACTGGATTGTTTCATTAGTTGCAAAGCCCCAAGACTTATCACATCAGACACCATCTTTAATTCTCCTGAATACGGTTATTAGCTTCTCCTCCTCCTCACCCCAAAATATAGAAAGCTTTGTTTTGCTTTTCAGAAACTATTCTGAGCATATAAAGTACTGAAAAATTAAGCTGCCCGTCATAATCAAGCTTCTGAGTTTTGTAAAATGGCTGAAAATGGATCCATCATGGCCAGTATTTTGGATTACTTTTGACAGAGAGGTTCCAGATAGCTGGGTTAGAAGATAATTTTCCTCTTACATTTTGTTTAATAGCAATAAGGGTAATAGAATGCGAGGTTTTTCTCCAATAATGGACTATCTGCTTCAAAAAGTAAAACCCTCAGATTCACCTCAATGCTTATTTAGGTAAATCCGACATCTCATCTTGGTGTTAATTTGGCACTGAAAAATAAATATCATTGGTGCATACGTTTGCATTAATGTTATTGCCTAATTATCCTTGTTTCAAAAGCAGTATTTATTCACTTCACCTGTTAAAAAAGAGCTTCTCTTAGTACTCTGAGTTACACTAAACATGAAAATGTGACCCTTTACAGATTAACTCATTTTCATTTACATTATCCAATGTCCTTTTTTTCCAAATGATGTCTTCAAGTGCCTCATCAGTGTTTCGTATCCCAAATTATACTGGCAAACACACAAAAACTGAACAAAAAGCAAATATTTCCATTTTTACTGTAATGGAATATTTGTCCTTTAAGATAATTTCCTTCTGCCTGGAGCGTGTACTGTGCTTTACTCAGTTTAATTTGATTCATTTTGGTATCTAGCACAGCAAAGTGTGAGTGTTTCTTGTGTTAGCATCATTTCTAATACCATGTTCAATCTACTGTTACCTGTACAAATGAACTAGCAGACTAAACAGATCACTTGAGTCAAGCCTGTGCACTATCAGCTTTGAAAATGATTAAGAATATAGAAACACACTCACCTTCAGGCTCACCACAGAGTGTACACTGTGATTCTGAAAAGAAAAAAGAGAGAGATAAAAGTCATTTCTTCTGCTCATATTTGAGATCATTACTTCTGCTCAAGGGATATCAAATCACAATCATTTACAAATGTAACCCAAACTGGCAGTACTCAAATTGTGCATGAATGAGAAGTATCACAAGAATGACCATAGTGGGTCAGATCAATGGTTCATCTAGCCCAGTATCTTTCTTTCGACAGTGACCAATGCCACATGCTTCAGAGGGAATTAACAGAACAGGGAAATTATCACGTGATCCATCCTCTGTCATCCAATCCCAGCATCTGACAGTCAGAGCATGGGGTTGCATCCCTGACTATCTTGGCTAATAGCTATTGATGGACCTATCCTCCATGAACTTATCTAATTCTGTATTGAACCCTGTTATACTTTTGGCCTTCACAACATCCACTGACCACAAGTTCCAAAGACTGACTGTGGATTGTGTGAAGAAGTACTTCCTGTAGTTCGTTTTAAACCTGCTGTTGATAAATTTTATTGGGTGACCCCTGATTCTTGTGTTATGTGAAGGGGTAAATAACATTTCCTTATTCACTTTCTCCATACACTCATGGATTTTATAAATTTCTATCATATCTCTCTTTACTCGTCTCTTTTCCAAACTGAACAGTCCCAGTTTTTTAATTTCTCCTCATATGAAAGCTGTTCCATACCCTTCATCATTTTTGTTGCTCTTCTCTTCACCTTTTCAATTTTTAATATATATTTTTTATATGGGGTAACCAGAACTGCATGCAGTATTCAAGATGTGGCCGTACCATGATGGCATTATGATATTTACTCTCTTAGTGTTTAACCCTTTCTTAATGCTTCCTAACATTCGGTTAAGCTTTTTTGAATGCTGCTGCACATTGCATGGATATTTTCCCAAAAACTACCTACAGTGACTCCAAGATCTCTGTCTTGTGTGGTAATAGCAAATTGAAACCACATCATTTTGTATGGATAGTTGGGGTGGTGTATTCCAATCTGCATTACTTTGAATGTATCAACATCGAATTTCATCTTACATTTTGTTGTCTAGTCACCCAGTTTTGTGAAATCCTTTTGTTAACTCTTTGCAGTTTGCTTTGGACTTAACTATCTTGAGTAACTTTGTGTTGTCTGCAAGCTGTGCCACCTCACTGTTTACTGCTTTTTCTGGATCATTTATGAAAATACTGAATAGCAGTGGTCCCAGCACAGATCCCTGGGGGTCACTGTTATTTACCTTGGTTCATTCTCTTAACTGAACACATATTCCTACCCTTTATTTCCTGTCTTTTAACCAGTTATTGATCTTTGGGAGAACCTTCCCTCTTATCCCATGACTGCTTACTTTGTTTAACAGTCTTTGGTGAGGGACCTTGTCAAAGGCTTTCTGAAGTTCAAGTACACAATAGCCACTGGATCCCCCTTGTCCACCTGCTTGTTGAACTCCTCAAAGAATTCTAATAGATTGGTGAGGTATGGTTTCCCTTTACAAAGCCACGTTGACTCTTCCCTCATCAAATCGTGTTCCTCTATCTGTCTGATAATTCTATTCCTTTACTATAGTTTCAACCAATTTGCCTGGGACTGATGTTAGGCTTACAAGCCTGTAATTGCCTGGAGCTTCTCTTAAAAATTGGGGTCACATTAGCTATCCTCCAATCATCTGGTACAGAAGCTAATTTAAGAAGTACCACAGTTCTTACTTCTGCAATTTCATATTTGAGTTCCTTCAGAATTTTTGGGTGAATATCATCTGGTCTTAGTGACTTATTACTGTTTAGTTTAATTAATTTGTTCCAAACCCTCCTCTATTGACACCTCACTCTGGGGCTGTTCTTCAGATTTGTCACTTTAAAAGAATGGCTCAGGTGTGGGAATCTCACTCAGATCATCTGCAGTGAAGATCCATGCAAAGAATTCATTTAGCTTCTCTGCAACATCCATGTCTTCCTTCAGTGGTCCTTTAACACCTTACATAATGACAGTTTTCAGAGTAGCAGCCGTGTTAGTCTGTATCCTCAAAAAGAACAGGAGTACTTGTGGCACCTTAGAGAGTAACAAATTTATGCTCTAATAAATTTGTTAGTCTCTAAGGTGCCACAAGTACTCCTGTTCTTTTAACACCTTAGTCATCCTGCAGCCTCACTGACTGTTTGGTAGGCTTCCTGCTTCTGGTGTACTTAATTATTTTGCGGTTAGAATTTGAAGAGCAACTAGCAAAAGACTTTTTAACTTATTATACTTTTACATTTGAGTTGCCAGAGTTTATGCTCCTTTCTATTTTCCTCAGTAGGGTATTCATGACTTTCAATTTTTAAAGGATGCCTTTTTGCCTCTAACTGCCACTTTTACTCTGTTTAGCCATGATGGCATTTTTGGTCCTCTTACAGTTTTTTTAATTTTGGGTATATATTTAATTTGAGCTTCTATTATGGTGTTAAAAAGTTTGCATGTAGCTTGCTGGCATTTCATTCTTGTGACTGTTCATTTCAATTTCCGCTTAACTAGCTTCCTCATTTTTGTCTAGTTTCCCTTTCTGAAGTTAAATACTACTGTGGTCAGTTTCTGGTATTTCCCCTCACACCCAGGATATTAAATTTGATTACATTATGGTCACTATTACCGAGCAGTTCAGTTATATTCACCTCTTGGACCAGATCCTGTACTCCATTTAGGATTAAATCCTAAACTCCCCTTGTGGGTTCCAGGATTAGCTGCTCCAAGAAGCAGTCATTAATGGTGTCTAGAAATTTTATCTCTGCATCCCATCTTGAGGTGACTTGTATCCACTCAAATATGGGGATTGTTGAAATCCCCCATTATTACTGAGTTTTCTATTTTTATAGCCTCTCTAATCACAATTACCATGACCATCCCAGTCAGGTGGTTGATAGTATATTCTTACTGCTATACCCTTATTATTCAAGCACAAAATTTCTATCCACCGAGATTCTATGGTACAGTTTGATTCATTTAATATTTTTACTATATTTGACTATGTTTTCTTTCACATATAGTGCCACTCACCTACCAGCACAACCTACTCTGTAATTCCTATATATTTTGTACCCTGGTATTACTGTGTCCCATTGATTATCATTGTTCCACCAGGTTTCTGTGATGCCTATTATATAAATAGCCTCATTTAATACCAGGCATTCAAGTCCACCCATCTTAGTATTTAGACTTCTAGCATTTATATACAAGCACTTATACAATTGGTCACTTTTTAGTTGTCTGGCTCCATGTGATGTAATTGAATGGGACTCTCTTTTGTTTGACTGTTTCTCTTCAGTTCCTACTTGTACTTCAATTTCTATTCTCTCCTCTTTATCAGGATATAGAGAATCCCTGTTAACAGATCTTCTCCAATGGGATGTCTCTGTCCAACTCATGTGCTCCTCTGCACCAGACAGCATTCCCCCAGTCAGTTTAAAATTTCTTCTACAACCTTTTTCATTTTACATTCCAGCAATGTGGTTCCATTTTGGTTTAAGTGGAGCTCATCCTTCCTGTATAGGCTCCTTCTTCCCCAAAAGGTTGCCAGCTTCCTAATACACCTAAACCCCTCCTCCCTACACCATCATCTCATCCACTCACTGAGACCCTGCAGTTCTGCCTAACTGTCCCTGAGCATGGAACTGGAAGCATTTCAGTGAATACCATTATGGAGGTCCTGGACTACCATCTCTTACCTAAATTTGGCCTCCAGGCCCTCTCTCCTACCTTTCCCCTATGTCATTGATACCTACATGTACCATGACCACTGACTACTCCCCAATACTGCACATAAGTCTGTCTAGATGTCTTGAGAAATGCACAACCTTCGCACCCAACAGGCAAGTCACCATGAGAGTCTCCCGGTCATCACACACTCAGCTATATGTATGTCTCATGATTGAATCCCCCATTACTATTACTGGACTCTTCCTAGTAACCACGATTCCCTCCTCTGGAGAGATATCCGCTGTGCAAGAGGATATCATGATATCCTGGAAGGTGAATTCAAACTATGAGATCATTTCCCTGCTCTTCAGTTTGATGTTCTCCTTTCCCAAGACTTTCATCCTCCTCAACAGCAGAGAGGCTGTCAGACTGGGGGTTGGACTGCTCTATTGTGTCCATGAAAGTCTCATTCCATTTTTATTACACCAAAATTGCAAAAATTACTTTTAATGAAAATAAAGTTTTGTACAAGGAATTTTTTAAAAATAGGTTTTACTCAAATGGTTAAACAATGACAAATCTGACTCTCAGTTACAGCCATGAAATCCCACAGAATCTAGTGGAGTGCAAGGGTGTAACTAAAAATATTTGGTCCCTTAGTATTTTGGATATGGAAAACTGCATGGAGTCACTGGCATCTGAAATCTATAATACCCTCTTAATTTTATTACTAAGAATAATAAATAATAATGGGGGCAGAGTTTATACTCTTTTCTTCCAGAAGGTTTCTAAATTCTCTGGGTCAAGTCCTGCAAATTAGTGAATAACCTGAGTTATGCCCCTCTTTAAAATATTCAGCAATAACGCTAAGGAATAAAGACCCCTGATGCTTCTGTCCCCAACGCAGCATTTGGCAAAGCATGTGAGCCCCTCTAGTCAGACCTACAACACGCTCCTTTCCTCCTCTCTCAATTGCACTGTGGGGAGCTGCCAATGCTGCTCCTCAGCAAGGAGGAGAACACAGAGACTTCTTGCAAAAGATTCCTTCTTCCTGATATCTCAACACTCACACTCACTGTTCCAGATGAGTTTTCACCTTTACATGGCAATGAAGGGCTGCCTGTGATTAGACTGTTTGTCTTACATGTCTTTTGTATAGCAAACACAAAAAATCTCTATTCCCTGAAATACCACTACCTCTGGTGTGGTGACTGTATCAAATTGTGGGATAACTCTATAATGTAGGACAAAACCTGAAAAATACTATCATCAGTTGAAATCACAAGGAGTAATTAAATCAGTGGAATATAATGACCTACACTGGAAGTAGC